GGGGGGGGGGGGGGGGGGGGGGGGGGGGGGGGGGGGGGGGGGGGGGGGGGGGGAATGGGTTCAAGGGACCACCTTGGCGGGACATTCAATATTATGAGGAAGTGGAACAGGGAGGGGGTACGCAGACCCTACTCCCTACCCTTTTACCCCAAACCCAACTCCCCGATGGTATGGTTTACCCAACAAGTTTGCTACTGGAAGACAACAACCGTGCGAAGGCTACTGGATACAAGAGGCCTACCTGTTCTTTCTTGCCATGCTTACAAAAGGCGAATGCTCGGCGGGAAAACCGACCTGCCCTCGTGCTTCCCCGCAGCTTCGTTCTTCCAGAGAGAATTTCGTTCGTGAAGGAAAATGCCGAGTAGATGTTCGCCTCGAGAGTGGATCGCATCTTGCCCTTGCGCCGGCAGCTTACGTTGTCGAGCTCGTGGAGGGCATGCACAGGATCACGACGCGCACGGACCTAGGTGCCAAGAGAGAACGAACCTGCTGTCCCGAAACCACGGTTTTGCTTTTGATGGGGACGAAGCCTTGTCTTCTCCTTGTCTTCCAGCGCCACCTCTTCCTTTGAATCATTGTTTGGAGTTGAGGTTGCGGGCCAGCGGCCTGCCTACACCCCACCATGGGTTTCACAACAACGAGGGCTTCCTAAGGGCGTTGCCGGCTCCCCCTTCGCTCGCAAATACGCGCCGATACGCCCTTATCTACTCCATCCCGCCAACCTTGCCGTACCCTATGATGAGAATTCGGCGGCGATGTGCCTTCGTGTACTCCAACCCCTCACCCCACCCTTTCGTACCTCTTGTTCAGGATTCGGCGATGACAAGCCTTAATCTATTCCAACCCCTCACCCGGCTTCGATCTTGCCCCTTGTGCAGCATTCGGTGGTGACCATCCCGAAGGGGGGCATTCGGAGACCCTCGCTACGATTACTGCTGCCACTGCCACCGAGGGCCAAGGGTCAGACGGAGGAACAGTTGCGTCGGCGTCACCGATGGAGGTGGAGGCGTCGGCAACCTCTGCGGAGGCCCCGCAGGATCAGGCGGCCGGGGAAGGGGGGGTCGGGGTGTTCTCGTTCGGGCGGGGGGATCTCGGAGCCCTGCTGCACGCGGACGATGCGGACCACTCCGCTGAGGAAGGCCCCGTGGTGGTCAAGAACCACCGGTCCTTGCTACAGGTGCGCGCACGCTTCGTTCCTCTTGTAAAGGGGAAGATATGGTTGTTTATCTTTCCGCGGCAGCAGGTTTCAGATTCTGGGGTAGGTTTGTTGTTGTTTTTGTTGTTGTCGTCGTCCTCGTCGTTGTTTCGGTGGTTGTTGATGTTGTTGTTGTTCAAGATCGGCGCGTCTTGGCGGTCAAATGGGCAAGGTACTTCGTTCACACGGTGCCGACAGTCCCGCAAGCCATGGGCTATGTCAGCAACCACTGCAGCAAGCAGACCATCAACCACACACTCCACCTCCTTCCTGAGGATACGACAACGAAACAAGCACCACATAGAACGTCTCGCTACCTTTCACTTTTTAGACCACCCACACAGAAGGCACCGTCACGCTTTGACCCCGAGACAGCGCTCCCCGGCACCGGTTCTCGCACCCACTACCCTTACCCCTCCAGGTGTCCACCTCGCTGTTCCATACCATGGCTGTGACCGCTTCGGGGGAGATCCTAGGCTGCGGCCAGAACGACGAGGGGCAAGTCCGGCCCGATCTCCTGACGGAGGCGTTCTTGCCGCGGCCGTCCCTGGTGGAGCCCGTGCTCTCCCATCGTATCACCCAGGCAAGGCGCCTTGAGCGGTGGGGTTGGTGACTTTTGGGGGTGGTTTCTTCGCGCACCCGCGCGTGTGTGTTCGAGGATAACCGCTGGGCGCCGAGCGAGTAACGTCCCGATGGTGTGAAAGTATCCGTTTCGTATACAGCGGGACGAAACGCAACAGAGATGGCGGTTGTTTTTTTACTGTCGTCGTCCTTCTCTTACATGGTGTCTTTTGTGTGGGTTGTCGCGCCCGCAGCACTGGAGGCGCAGGGGTTGGGACCGGTCCAGGCCCGATTTTGGACAGACCGTTTGTTTGCCTCGAGAGGTGCTTTGCCTCCGTTTATTCGTCGGATTCATTTTCATGCAAGAAAGCATGATACTACTCTTCAGCGTTTGTTTTTGTTTGCAGCGCTTAGTTCTGTTTGCTTGCCTCGATATGTTTGTGTGCTTCCGTGTTCGAGGGCAAATGGGCTCTACTTCCGTCTTAGGTTCGCGCTGAGTCGGGGCGCGACCAGGTCTCACCGACGTTGACAGGTGCAACCATTATTTGTGAAGCAAGCTCGCTCGCCCCTTGCCCTGGTGCTGCCGCGGCCGTACCCTTGTGAAGCAACCGCCCTCCACCCTGCGCGTGTGGTTCTGCGGTTTGCTCCAGGTGGCCTGTGGGCTGTACCACACGGTGTGCGTAACGGCCTCCGGCATGGCCATGTCGTGGGGGGGAAATGAGTCCGGACAGGTGCGCGAGAGATACGTACGCACGTACGCATGTACGCACAAGACGGGACAAAGTGGCGGGAAGAGACAATATATAGGGAGGTAAAGGGAGAGGGAGAGAGAGAGACAGACAGACAGACAGACAGACAGAGAGACAGAGATGAAGAGGCAGACCTTGGCGTAAGTTTCGATCATGTAGACCCTGCCGTCCGTCCACCCTTCACATACGTGGCAGCTGGTATAGTTTGGATCCTTCTCTCACAGCCTGTTGATTGGTTCCTTCGTGGGTTCACCGTTTTCCCCCTACCCGGCGCACGCTTCTTTTTGCCCCTGTTCCGCACGCAGCTCGGACACAGCGGGGAGATCACTCGGACCGTGCGCCCCATGGTGGTCCAGGTATGAGACGGCGTGCCTAGAATTGGCGTCCGGGAGTGTCTCGGATATGGAAAGGAAGTAGTTTGTTCGAGCCTGGAGCTTTTTTTTTTTATTACATGTGTACGCCGTTAGTCCATTTCTCGATTTCTTGCTGGCCATACTTGGTCGGAAGCCTGCGTATGTGCATTTGTCCTCCCTCAAGGTCACGCGGTCCACGCCGAGTGGCCCGTCATCTCGCGAATCACGTGAGTGGTCGCGTGGTCGCGTGGTCGCATTCCCGGCGAACAAAATAGTGCTTCCACTCGAGTGGGGGGAGGGGGCGGGGGGGGGCATGCGGAGGGGGCTTGAAAGAAAAACTGTTTTGTGTTGTGGTGTTGTTCCTATTTGGTGCTGCTAAGTGCTGCTAAATGATGGACCGGCTGCCCAATTACAATACTCGTCTGGTGGGCCTGTGCATGTGTGTAATGGAAAATCAGTGAAGTGAAACCGGTGGGGTTTCGCTTGAATATGAATGAACCCGCAAACACTGTCGGTAACTCCTCTATCTAAAGAGTAAGGTAAGCCCTTTCGTGTTCACTTCTCTCATGTTAGGGATAATTGTGCCTTTTCCAGGTCACGGGGGCAGGACAGTCGTGGTCGTCGAGACGGCGTGCCTCGAGAGTTGCATGCGGAGATCTCTTCACGCTCATCCTCACCTCCCGGGCCGAGGTGTGCATGCGTGCATGCGTGCGTGTGTGTGTGTGTGTGTTTTTTTTTTTTTTTCGTTGAAGCGAGAGCGCTAGCCGGCGCGCGCGTGTGTGCGTGCGTGTCGGAATATTGTTGTGTGTGCCCACCGTGCTAACGCCCACCGTGCTAACCAGCTGACCAATCAAAATGGAAGCGTTGACAATGGGCTGACAAGGTATGTGTGTTTGGTTTAACCGTAGGCAACGACGGCACTAGCTGGCTGACCAAAAGAAAAGCGTATTCGTGTGTCCTTGCTACGTGGGTCGACGGCGCTAACCGGCTGACCAAAAAAAATGCTCGATCTCGGTGTGGCTGTGTTGATTTGCAAGTGTGTGTTGTGTTTCATCAACCACGCTCAGCGGCTATAGAGCCTCAGCTTCTGCGCGGCAATTGGCGGACAATTCTTCCAAAGAAAGGCCAGCTAGGCTAATCTCCGGATTGAAGGCAGAAATGGCAACAGATGCAGAGAAAAGCACGCACCTACTGAGATTTCTATATACTCCTCACGTTGGTTTGGCTCTGTCGTAAGTTGTTGCTGGTTCTAGTAGTCATCCTCCTGGCGTTCATGTAGTTCTCGGCCAGTTCTCTGTCCCTTGCCGTTTTTCCACACGTTCGCCGGGTTTCAACTTTGACTCTCTTCCACACTCTCTCTTCCTTCATCCCGTTGATTTCATCCTTCTCTCCTCTCTTTTCCCTCACCTTTCGACCTAAACCAATTCTTGTCCAACCGTGCCACCAACCTTCCTCTTTTCGCCAATCACCCTCTCTTTGTCATCACCTTCCTTCGAGTCCTCCCATTCTCCTCTGCATTGACACTGCCATGTCTTCCACCCTCTTTTTCGTATAAATCCTCAAACAAATGGCCTGTAGTGTGCAATTTCGTTCATTATTGAAAGGCGCCACGGGCCCGCGATGATGGGAAGGGAGCTAGCTCGAAACACAAACTGCCTCCGCATCGTGTTCGCTATGAAAGCCTTCAGGTGGAGGAAGGCTGACTCGTCATCGAACCTACCCATATTGTAGTCTTCGTCGGCCAGATGACCGAACAGTTGATGCCTTTGCCAAGACCAGTAGGCGGCAAAAAAATCCAGCATGGCGAGGTGGAGGCGAGACGGGTTCAATGTTCCCACACAGTGGTTTGCCTCCCGCCAAGGGCGTATCCTAGTAGCTTCCTATTCTTTTTTAGCTTCTGCTTTCTGCAGCGTTGACGACGGCAACGTCTACCTGGACAGACGCTTTTTGTAGGACCTCGTCTTTTGCCCTTGCGCTTACCCCTGTGGGAACCACTAATTCCATCTCGTACAGTCCGTTTCTTTGGCCAGTGGTTCTGCTGAATTGGTGAGGTCCTCGACTATGATGGGCATGTTGCATTGGCGCGTTGGTCGCCAGTGCAATGTGCCCATCATGCTCACGGATATTTCTAATATGCACCGTAAGCATTGGTCGAGGACGCGGAATTTTTTGTGAGAAATTCGGATTTGGCTTCTCCCCGAGATTGGCGTGTAGGCGGAAAAGGCGAGGATCACTCACTTGGGTGGGATCACTTGATACATCCACCTTGTACAGTCCGTTTCCTCGATCAATGCTTATGGTGGATTGGCAAGATCCTCGACCATGATGAGCTTGTTGCGTTGGCGCATTGGTCGCCAATACCGCATGCCCATAATGCTCACGGATCTTCTTATTGCACCAGAGGCGTTGGTCGAGGCAACGGACGTTCAACAACGGATTGACCTTCTACCCCCGGTTGATGTGCAGGCGAAAAGAACGAGAATATCTCAGCCACTTGGGGGCATCGCGAAATCCATCCTGTATAGTCCGTTTCCTCGACCAGTGCTTCTGGTGAATTGGTAAGATCCTCGACCATGATGAGCACGTGTTACTGGCGCGTTGGTCGCCAACGCAACATGCTCATCATGGCCGAGGATCTTACCAATTTAACCACAACCATTGGTCGAGGAAACGAACTTCGTTAACAACGGATTGGTTTCTCCGCGGGATTGACGTGCAGGCGAAAAAGACAAGGGTCTGTCGGCCAAGCCGGTCCTCGTACATGGGTGTCGCCATCGCCACAGCGAGCGAAAGCAACCAATATTGGTCCGAGGACCACGATACTCCCTAGACGAGCGAGCATCCAAGAAAAGGCGATGAAACCGCCACGGGGAGTTTGCGACCGTATGTTTCATCGAGTGTGCATTAACCGCGCAAATTGATGACTGATGAAAAAATGCCAGCTTCTTTTCGGGATGAAAAAGTGCAAACACGATTTGTGGTCATAGGGCTGCTGTGTGTTGGCATCGACCGCGCTAACCGACTGGCCAATGAAGAGACCTCAGTCTTTCGGCGGGATAATGAAATATGCTTCTATGTTGTTTTTTTCGCCGAAATTACCTGCACCTACCGGCTGGCCGATACAACGGACTCCAATGGTCGCCACACGAAACCCTGTGTTCGCGCGGTCGTGTGGTACTGCAGGTGGGAGCCACCGCGCTATATTGTTCACCAGTAAGAGGCGCTATCTTGCCCGGAGTAAGCTACCCTACGGTAGAGGGCGGCGGGGGGGGGGTAGTGACGAGGCGTCAGGAATGTTCCAGGTTCCAGGACCCCTGAATTCTACAAGATAACAAGCTACAACTCTCACCCTTGATCGTTTCGCAAATGCTCAACTCTACGTGCGCGCAACCATTGAGGGTCAACCTCAAGAAAACGCCGCGGGGCTTTCGTGTTGTAAAAAGTGGAGTTTGTTTTCAATGAACCAGCTTGGAGCGCTTTCCTTTCCATCGTTGGGCTCGACGCGGGAGGAGTATCCGCGCGCCTTCTCGGCGTGTTTTTTTTGTGTGTTCAATCCCACATTCTCATGTTGGTCACGTTGCCGCGACAACATCAACCCCGACATTTTTGTGACGAACCATTGCGTCTTTCAAAAGCGGCGAGAAATATTTCACGTCAGACGTCTCATCATCCCGTCGCCGGGTTTCCGTGTTCCCGCACCGGCTTTCCTCCCGTCGTGTTGCGGTACGGTTTCTCCAGGTGTTCTCGTGCGGTGTCGGCGAGTGTGTCGGCGGTGACGGGAGAGACCGAAAACAGGCCGCCCCCGTGCCGTCCCTCGCCGGGTTTCCAACCGTGTGGATGGCGTGCGGGAACAGCCACTCGGTGGTTATCGGAGCCGGAGGTGACGCGCTGGGTTTCGGCTTGAACACACACGGTCAGGTGAGTCGAGGCCGTCTTGATTTGGTTTCGCCTTGGAGGCGTGCTTTCAGGCGGGGCTGTGTTCGCCAGGGCAGGGGGGCGCAGTGGGGACCCCTTTGGGCGTAGTTGGCTGATCGTAGCAACGTGTCGTGTCATCCGTCGGACGTACGCTTGCATTGAAGAGAATGGAGACACGGCATGGTCTCGAAGGCGCGCCCTGCCCGACACGCAGGCCGCCGCAGCCGCCGACAAGCCCCCTGCAGAGGCTTTCAACACCGCGCGGTGACCGGGATCTTAACTCGAACGACAACTGTGTTGCGTGCTGTTGGTACGCTACGAGCTCCACACCCCTAACCCAGAGGAGTCTGTTACAACAAGTCAAGTCTTCGAAAGGCCACGTACCTTGGTTGCGCCCCCGCACGGATAATTCGTTGTCAAAGAGAGACTGCCTTGAGAGGCCTGTAGCGAACGAGTGCCTTTTCTTCAATACGCGCAGAGGAGTGCGGTACCTCTCCCACCTGACACCGTCCGCAAAACTCGCGCGCTGTCCCCTGCCGCCTCTTCCCGTCGTCCCCTCCTCTCAATTTCGTACGTCAACAGCTTGGGGTAGGCGAGTTAGAAGGTGGCGAGGGGCCAGCAGTCCTGCACCCTCGACCGATCGTCGGAACGTTCTCCAAGCCTCTCACCTTGCCTCCCGCCGCGGTGGCTACCCCCGACGACGTACCCTCGCCCCGAGATTCAAACCCCACGGGAGCCGGCAGCGCTACCCCCGCTAGGCCCGCTCCCGCCGGCGCGGAAGGCGCCACCGCCGCTGCCGCCGCCGCTGCTCCCGCGAGCAGGGTCGGTGGTGATAGCGCTAACGGCGGCCGCATGAAGAGCGGGGCGACCCCGCCCGCCTTTCTGGCCGCCCGCGCGGCCTGCGGGCAGAGCCACACCGTGCTCGTCTCGACGGCGGGGGAAGCGTGGGCCTGCGGCCGCAACCGGTCGGGCCAACTGGGCGTCGATCCCGACATTGTCGGGGAGACCAGCACACCGGTGAGGGTCCCGCTAGAGGGGGAAGGGGGAGGGGGAGGAGCGGCGGCGGTAGGCGCCGTCCAAGCGGCCGCGGGCAGGGCGCACTCCTTGGTGCTGCTATCCGACGGCAGGGTGGTCGGCTTCGGGAGCGACGAATTCGGGGCGCTCGGACCTGCTGAGCCTCCCGTCGCCGCCGCCGCCGCCGCCGTTGGCGACAGCATGGAGGTGGACACCGCGACGCACCGCTCTTGCTACCATTGGAAGCCCACGGTCATCGAGGCACTCAGCGGGCGGTGGGTAGCCTCGGTGTCTGCCGGCGGCGAGCAAAGCTTCGCGATAGCGGTGGGCCCGGCTCAGCCGCCGGCCGTGGGGGCGGGGGCGGGGACAGCCCACCCTCCGCCCCCGTTGCCTTCCTCTCCGGGTGACGCCGCTTCTGTCGTTGGGGGCTTGGGGCGGCCAGACGAAAAGGCTCCCGTGGCGGCGGCCATGTCAGTAGATGGCGACTCGGCAGCAGAGCGGAAGTTCACGCCAGCACCAGCGGTCGCCGAGAGCGAGGCACGCCGCGAAGGAGGCGGAGAAGATGCGGACCGGGGGCCAGGAAGCCTCGCCGGGGCTGCCGGGGCTGCCGGCCCGCTCGTGAGACGGGGCTCCGAGGCGCTGTCGCTCCGACGGCGCTTCTCGCTCCCTCCGACGCTGAGGATGTGGACGGTGGGCGAGTTCCTGCAGCTGATCAGGAAGGCAGAGGCAGCCGCGGTGACCGGGAACAGCTCGGACGTGGAGGGGGAGGCCAGCCGCGGGGGCGCGGAAGAAGCGGCAGTGCTGGAGGTAGGTGACGTTTTTCTCGGAATGAAAGGCCGGTTCTCATTCTTCTGAAAATTTTTTGTAGTCAGTCTCGTCTTGAACACTGTTGAGCGCCAGGTGCGGGATCGACCGCAGTTTGTGCTTGCTCGATCGGGTATTCACACTTTTGGGTGATGAAGCGAGCTCGACGAGGTGGCGGTGGGCGGGGAAGAGCGTTCGACGGAGGGCGTAGGAACGCATTCTCGAACCCTGCTGGTCTGGCGGGTGAGTTGCTCCTTTTGTCCAACCAGGGCCGACCTCTTTCCGGCACCATTATCCCCATCGCACCTGTCCACCACCTTCCATTGTCCTATATACGCCGAACGTCCGTTACCTCATTAAAACCCGGCTGCTCACCCCTGCAAGACTGTGATGCTGATGAATTGCTGCTGACAACGGATTTTATCCCAGCTTCTTGTGGGATGGGAGTATTGTACCCCTGCAAGTCCACTTTCCGCTTGCTGTCCGAAACTCCGCCGGCCGTGCTTTGGAGCAGGCCGTGCGGCAAACATTCGCTTCGCCATCGGTCCTGAGCGCGTGCTTCAACATTGAAGCACCGGCAGAGGCCCGACATGGCAACCTGGGGAGGACGCAGACGGGGGAAGGGAGGGGACAGGGGACGGCGTTCCCCCGGGTGGATGCGGCGGGGTTGGAAGCTGTGTACGCGGGGCTAGCGGGTCTGGGGCCGAGGGTGGTGGACACTCTGTGGTCGTCGATCGAGGAGGTGCGATCACGCTACCGGCAGCGGTATCCCGAAACGTCGCACAAATCCCTCTTTTTCGAGATGGCGCCTCTGGTTTTTGCCCTGTTATTCTAAGGTATGCCACTTACCCCTCGACGTATTCGTTTCCCGGCCCCTGTCCCGCGCGCTCTTTATCTACACCCCCTTCATCGCAAGAACTTATTCCTCCCCGCGCCTGCCCACTCGTCCGCTTCCAGCATGCTAGCATCCACACACGCGCGCTCCCCTTCCTATGCTTTGGGTTGGGCGCATGCCCCCAGGTCACCCCCTCCCGCTCCAGGGAACGGCAGCGGCTGCACCCTCTTTGTCCCGATTCCTTCTGCCGCATTTTCGTCCATCCGTGATCAGTCCTGTTGGTACAACGCCGCGTTCTCTCGAGGACGCGCGGTCAATGGTCTAACAGCCAACGCATGCCCGACGTGAATACCTCAGGGAATGGCAGCGGTCAGGGAGGCGCAACAATCCCCTTTGACCTCTTCGAAATCTCGGTGCTCTCGGCCATCTTCAAACCCCGCGGTGCCGGGCCTCGAGGCCGCCGGAGCCTCGTTCCTCCTCAAGTACTGGCAGGGGTCGACCTTCTCGCGAGACGTGGGGGAGTCTCCGGACACGGGCAAGGACATGGCCATGGAGAGGATCTGCAAGACGGTGCTCGGGCTCAAGGGGCACGCCCGCTGGTGGCTCATGCGCAGGTAGTCGGCGTGCGAGGTGTTGCCGCCTGGGCGGGTCATGGCACTGACTGCTGTGCTGCTGATTCCTTGGTCGAGAATAAGTCCTGCCATGTTTCTCGTGTTTTGCATAGCAACTTCCCCTGTAAGCGTGGTACCGCTCTGTCGGAAAATGCTAGGATGATCGCTCTGATACACACGTAAACATCAAATGGTCCTTGCATTTCCAAACGTTGTGGTGTACGATAAGCAACCACAGGAACAGGGGGCTGGAAAATTTCGTCCAGTGGTATCCGTCTCCGGATGGGTGGGTTCTACTTCGTGGACCTCGGCCGTGTTTTTCCCGGCGAGGGCGGGTTCAGCTTCGACGTGGCTTTACCTGGACAAAGCTCCACTCGTTTTGAGTTATTTTCGCTTTTCATTTGAACTAAGTGGAGGGTGGCCGGCCTGTGATCCCTTTTGGCGCCCGCGTCAGTTTGACCGGTGCGGAGATGTGATAAGGTACTGAGCGAAGGCCGGGACGACAACAACAACAACAACAGCACTGCATGTATCTCCGGTGCGTCTGTTTACTTTTTGCCCAATCCGTGTGCGCGGTGTGCTTTCCCTGGCATGGCGTTCACCTAAATTAGCGTTAAAGAGGACTATTCTGCGGAACTCTTCTCCTCCCGACTGGTCAAGCCCATGGTCGAGCACCTTTCCATCTGGCTGAAGAGAGTGGGACAGACGAGACCCTACTACCCTACCGCGGCTTTGCTGCTCAAGGTAAGGCACACGTACACGACGCCGGCTGTGGGTTAGGCGCGCCAGCGGAAACGCAGTGCATTTCGTCGTTGCAATACTGAAGAAATCCTTGTGTAAGTTTCCCTTGCGGTGGTTGTGTTCCTGGTGTCTTGGTGGATGATAGACAGAGAGAGCGGCGGGGATGTGAGCGGAGCGTCCGCATCGTGCAGAGTTCTTGTTGCAGCTGTTGGTAGGTCTGATCTATGAGAAGATCGCCTGGCTGTCAAACGATGTTTGGGTTTGGGTTTGGGTTAGGGTTAGGGTTGCGTGGTGTGACATGGCAAGAGACCGCCATCCTCGCATCTATGTTCCCGTCTACCGCAGGTTGCGTAAGATATCACACCGGGTGGAATGGTTGTCTTGAGCTCGATTACTCCCGGCAGCACAAGCAGCTACGGTGCCGAAAATGGCCGCGTTGGAACTTTCCCGTCAAGAGCTTTCTAATAGTATTTAGTTTGCTTGTTGCATGCTCTTCGTCGTGGAGTATGTGAGCTTTGAACGTCGGTCCAGGAGGGTGTGGTATCTTTCGCCATTTCGCCTACGGTATCTCGCGGAAGCAACGGTACTCATTAGGTCATGCATGTCTAACGTGTTGTGGATGAGCTGGTCTGGTTGTCCTCGGCCCTCCAATCTCACACTGTTGCTCTATTCTATCTGGCGAGGCGTGCTTGGTTTCTCCCGGCATATTTGTCGCCGCGCCCACCCTGTGCGCGTCCCGACCCGCCCGACTAGACCCACGGCATGCTTAACGACCGCGCTTCTGCTTCTCTCCGCACTGCTTGGGCTTCGCCCCCGCTCTCTAGCACGTGCGTGCTTGGCAGGCGAAACACTGCTTTCCGCATAGCCTTGTGACGACTGCTTCCTCCCAAGTCGGTACATGTATCGTGCGTCCGTTTGTGTTCTTGACACCGGTTCACTGTCTCCGCCCCTTCCAACAATGAACCCATGGTATGGTGCCAAACACATTCTCCCCGATCGGATTTCTCTTCACTCCCTGGAGAGTTTTTTTTCCCTCTCCCAAGCGACAATTGACGTAAAACGTTCGCGTGGTGCCGCCTGCCATTCTACCCTGCGCTACCTGATACTACGCTACGAAGTGGCTGCATTCCATCAACGAACTCGAGGGTACGCGGAAGGTGAGACCGGGAGGACGGACCGTTGCGCGGATCGTTCCACAGGAACAAGCCGCCGTCGTCGTCTCCGGTTGCAGCCAGCTGTACAATGGTCTTTCCGTGTTCGCACGTGTATGTCTGTCGAACACCGCGTTTCTATGTTGCCGAAACGGGTTGTGGTTTTGTTCCATGGTGTTCCGGAATTGCCTGTTTTCTGTTTCGTCAGTCCCTCTGGATTTGCTTTGGTTTTAGACCATTTCCTGGAATGATCGGTGCATCGCCTTTCCACGGGAGCACATCCGGACGCGGAACGCCTCCGTGCGGGTTATCCACGAAGATTTCCGTGGGTTGTCTATCACCAGACCAAAACATTCAGGCGACAGCTTCGTCGCCCAACATGACCCGTTGATGGACGGATTTGGGATGACAGAGTCATATCGCATTCTCGTTATCCTACTCCTCCTGCTCGTCCCTCGCTCAATCGAAAATATTTAGTTTTTGACACGGCAATGGTAACGATTTGTGCTCTTGAACGTTTCGAGTAAACAACTGCAAAGAAAGGCACTAGTATTTGTTAACGGTACCTGTACCTGCTGCTTCTACCGCCGTTTTCCAAGATTCCATACGAGGACTTCTTCAGCGACTACATCTCGAACATGCCCGCGGATAAAGTCGTGCAGGACCTGCTCAGGTGGAAGGATCAGGAACCCCTTGCTAGGATGAAACGGTTCTTCCTGTGTGAGCATCCCTTCTTGATCTCTACCGACTTGAAGAAGGTGAATCGTTGTTGATAAGAAAGCCTTTGCTATCGAAACCTACATTGGTAACGACACTGGACCGTTCTCCTTTCCGAGCAAGCCTGCCCAATCTCTACCCAGAAAGTATGGTGAACGCGACTCGTTATTATATACTTCAAGTATATCAAATGCAGTCGTGGCTCCGATGTCAAAGGGTGGCGTGACCAAGGTCCTTGGACCTCTAGCGTGGGAGTCCCCTCTTATTCCGGAACAAGAGGTTGCCCAACTACACCGTAGCGGGTCGAGTAGTCAGTGACCACCGATTTCGACCCACTTATATCGGAGCCGCCTCCTATATGGTACCCTCTTACATCGGAGCCACGACTGTACCGTAAACCTACCTTAGCATCGAAAAAGGACGGCTCTTCTGTGGGAGCACGCCTTCCTCGCCTCTACCGGGAGAAAGAAGGAACCACCAATTTTTCATAAGCCTGAAAGTTTGCATCGAAAAAGGGCGGCATGATCACGACGTCTCTTTTCTTCCCGTTGCGGAAAATCAAAGAAGCAATCAACGCCGTACAGGTATGCGATGGTGTGGTAAATCCCTGACCATTCAGCTTGGTATAGGACGTGGACAGGCTTCTTTTTTGATGCCGCTGCTACTGCTGTGTGTGTGTGTCAGTTTCTCATGTTGTCATCCTGCGCTAACCTGCTGACGATTGGACAGAACGCATTTTTTTTTATTTATTTATCATTGGCAGGAACGGTGGTGGTGATGGTTGGTGGGGGGTCAGGGGGGGGGGTTTCTTGGCTTATTCTTGATAGCCCCTTGATTGCTCGAGCTTTACCCGGTGTAGGATCTCAGTGGTGGCAAGCAGAACACCGTATCCACCACCTCTGTCACCATCATCAGCAATAATTGCAATAATTGCAACAATTGCAACATTTGCAACATGAGCGTCGGCATACTCATCCTCCCCATCAAGTCATTACATCGTCATCACTCATCATCAACAACAACAACCAAAGCCGACCCTTCGCCCATCCGTACGCGCATCACCAACATGCAGTTCCTGCTTAAGGCGGAAGCCAAAGTGGAGCAAGACAAGGCCGCCCAAGCCTCGGGGCACTACGTTCCCCTCGTAGGCGTGGTAATCAGACCGTTCTTGGTGCTGACGGTCAACAGGACCCACTTGCTCCAAGAAACGTTGGCGCAGGCAAGCAAACAGGCTGAAAACGTTTTCGGTCTCTCGACGCCGTTTCGAGTACCGGAGACTTTGGTTTATTCTCTTGGGGAGCCTATATTTGCGGACGCCGTGCGTCCGACGAATGTGAATCTTTCGTGTGTTTGTGTCACTAGTGGCAACGCGTGTGTTGGTGATCGCAATCGTAGCGCCAGGGAGACAACACCGGCGGACTAACGTTGTTTTGGCACTGCTGGACCAGTGTAGTTGGAGCTTTCGACGTAGAAGCTGGTGTGTTGTCGGGCGTGCTTCAAAGGATGATACGGTATGTACGCCATGTCTTCAACATTGGATTGGTGTTGTTGCATACGCTTGCAGGGGCACGCTGTCGCTGCCCTCTGTTGCCCACACTCGGCCGAGAGGCCTAGACGCTTTCATCTCTCACGACGCTGTGTTGCATCCCAAGCTTTGCTAGCTTGTGGAGACATGGTCTACGCCCTACACATGAACGTGTCTCGCGATGCCATACCCCGAATGCCCCATCGCCCAACACCGCTTTCCGTACCTCCGCCACTGGACTCGAACGATGCCCCCTCGACCGTCTCTGCTTTATCCCACCCCCAGGGGACGTACTCGACTCAAAGAACGACCGTTTCCGCGCCACTGCACCTGCCGTTCATTTTTATGCGACCCTCTTGGCGTACACTCCCTCTTCCCCCTCGTCTCTGTATCATCCCCACTTCGTGGCTTGGGGGTTCGCACTCGACCCGAAACCACGCCGCTGATGCGCTGCGCTCCCTCCTCACGTACCTCGCCCCGCGAAGGTTTCCCGGCTACCAGATGCGGACCTGCGGAAGAAGCTGAAAGTGGTTTTCCGCGGAGAGGATGGGGTCGATGAAGGAGGAGTTGCGAAGGAGTTCTTTCAGCTGCTGACTGTCCAGGTACGTAAGTCATGGAATGCTCACGGGCCTCCGCTCCTCGGCGCTTCGATTGTTTTGTGTTGCGCCGTGTAAGGCTCGGTCGTACACGCGAAAGTTTTCGCGTAGTATTTTGTAGATGCGGTAAACGGGTTCAGGTCTGCTCAAGTCGTACTCTGCGCGGGACGTCGTGCCTTGAGAGTGAACAGATTGTTGCCTTGTACGTGGCTGACCCTCATTGGACGTCGTACAGTTTTTCGTGCAGAAAAAACACCCGCGGATCCATGACGACCAACCTAAATTCACTGCGACGTGGTCGGGATCATGTTCCTATTGTTGTGGCGAGCAGCCCCTTGGTGCACCGATCCTACTCCCCCCCAACGAACGCCGTAATTCCCTGCACTGGATCAAGCGACCGACCGCCCTTGAAATTTCGCCGCCCGATCTGTCCCAACCCAGCTGTTCGACCAGTCCTTCGGCATGTTCGTGCCGGCGGGAGAGGGAGGCCGGGTGCTGTGGTTCAATAAGGACTGCGTCTGGGCTGACGAGGAGTACGGGCTGGTCGGTCTGTTGGTGGGGCTCGCGGTCTACTCGGGTGTGATCCTGGACGTGCCCCTACCGCTCGTGGTGTTCAAAAAGCTCCTCGGGGAGCAGCTCTCGCTAGAGGTGTGTGCTGGCCGCCGACATTTTTTTTTCGTCTTTCAAGGACACAAGGAGCTCATCTCCGTCCAGGGTAAATAGTCCAGCCTGGATTTGCATTCGTTCATGGTGTAACATGACCAAGTTGTGATTTGTCGGAAGCTCTGCCCTGTTGCGGTTTGGGTTGCTGGAGGCAGCGACTTGTTTGGTGCTGAGGACTGATTTTTACCCCTGTGTGTGACATGACAAGCGGTTGTTGTTGTTTTCTGTCCGCTGACCCTCGAGTTGTGCGATGTGCCAGCCTCGTATGTGGTCGGCGGAAAAAACGCGTGGCTTGTTACGTTGGAGAACCGCGTCTACGCGCGGCACTTTTTGGTCTTTCCGGTGCATGTTCGAGGGTTTTGAATGAAGCTCACCACAGGAGACCATTCCTAGGTACGTAGAACGAGCTGAATGCATTCGAGCTGAAACATTGTCATTCCACAGCATACCGGCCTTGGTGTGCACGGGATCAGCATAGCTTGCCGGAATCTAGAGCGATCGGATGGCAAATGCACGCCCAGGTGTAACAAGGAGTTGTTGTCGTTGAGAGTTACAAGCGGAGGAGCCTTCTCTACACTCCCTCTTTTTTTTTGCCGTGATGAAACTACGAGCGCTAGTTCCGCAAGAATAGTTAATCGCGAGGGGTCGCGCGTTCTGTATGTTTCGTTTTCTTTTTCGCTTCGTGATATTTTTCCCAGGATCTCGGAGATATCGACCCCGGTCTACTCAAGGGTTTCCACCAGCTGCGGAAATACGATGGCGGGGACGACGAAGACGTCTTCGGCCTCAACTTCAGGGTGGGTGATATGGTCCTCGGCTTTGCTTGTCCTGCACTGTTTTGGTGTCGTTTTGGTCCAGCCTCGATGTGTTCAGTTTGCAGAGGAGATGTTTCTGGCCGTTTCTTCGGAGAGACATACAACCATGGAGAGAAGGGGGGCAGGAGGGTAACCCCGGTAGTATCTACCTTCCCCAGCCACCATCAGCTAAAGTTACAAAACCAGATGTCCGACCGACTGGTGCAGCAGTAGCACAGTTGCCGGACTTCGCCGTTGGACGTTTCAACTCAGGCAAGGTCGTACTCGAATTCTTGCGAGAGGGAAGCTATGGAGAAGCAAGGCAACACCTGTCTCCCTAGTGTATGCGTTTCGCATACCGTCTTGAGCGGCAGTTTGTTCATTTTGATGCACAATTCGCGTGCTGTTCCATGCGTGAATGAGGCAATGGGGGAATGAGGGATTGATTGAACTATTGGGTGAGTGAACGAACAAGTGAACTTTGATGATTTGTGAATGAACAATGGAGTGAGTGCGTGAATGAACGAGTGAAAGGGTTGGTGTCTGAGTGAGCGAATGGTGACTAGTGAAGAACGAAGTGAATGAACGGTGAGTGAATGGAGGAATGAGCGAGTGAGTTATGACTACGACCACTTGCGTGCGGCTGCGTTTGTGTGTGCACGTATTTTGTGCTCTTTGAAGTATCAACCGCTGATCACCCGTCTCCTCGTGCGAGTATGCCACCCTTCTTGTATGCTATCCATGGCTCTTGTGTCAGAAACTGATACCAAAAAGATGTCCGGTGTTCCGAAAGCGTTCAAAACGATTTCGAGTGAGCGTAATCAGGCTGGCGGCTTCGCCATCTTGTGGCTTGTTCTGCGGTCGGATGCGCCGTTAATGGTAGAGCGTGCTTTGGGGCAGAATCAAAGCACCCCGCGGCATGGCAGCTAGGTTACACTGAAGGTATTGCACTCTCCTCGTGGCCATGGCAGAGATCAGGTTTCGGGCTAGGTGGAACTTGAACCGGTATTTCCCATATTCGTCGCGCTGGCTTGTTTTAGAATGCAGTGCAATCTCTCCACAGATACCACGTGCCAACCACGCTCCAATCGTTTTGTCATTTTCGTCTCCACTGGCATGCAGCATCTCGGGCAGCTCTTTGTGATGCACGCCCTGCGACTCGCTTTCGTCGTTTCTGTAAGCTTCGCCTTTTTTTCAATTTGTCGGTTGCCGTGTCCGTGGCTACCACCTTGCACACAGGTAACTTGGGATGATTTAGGGATGGAGCGCAGCCACGACTTGGTGGAGGGGGGCGCGAATATCCCGGTGACGAGCGAGAACAAGGAGAGTTACGTGGAACTATACGCGCAATTTCTTCTGGTCGGGGCGGTCTCGCGGCAGATGGACCACTTCAAGCAGGGCTTTCTTAGGGTCATGTCCGGGGCGGCTTCGATATCCTTGTTCAGGTGCAAGTTACAGATTTCGAAATGGTTTGCGATTTCTTCGGTCTGGGTTCCTCCGCAGTGTGCCCCCCCCCCCCGTTGGTGCGTAATGAGCAGGTGGGAACGTATAGACTGGCCCTTAATGGGACAGGACAACATCGTCGAGAACATCTTTACGTTTCTGGCTTTGGTTATTGGAACTTGCGACGTCGTGTCGTAGTGATCACCACCGATACGCGAGAAACATTCACGGTCATACCCCATCCATCACAGCCTCCTCTCGTGCGTAAGCCAGCCACCGCCCCGTAGTTGCTTCTTTTCTCAATCGCTTGTTTGTTTTATGCCAAGTTTCAGGGCTGAGGAGCTCGAAGTACTCGTCACGGGAACGTCCGAACTCGACTTCGAGGAGCTTGCCAAGGCCACCGAATACGACGGGGGCTACGGGGAGGACCATCGCACCATACGGGCTTTCTGGCGCGCTGTGGGGGAGATGCCCGCCGAGGAGCAACGGCGCCTCCTCATGTTCGTCACGGGCTCGAAGAAGGTCAGATTTTGCTGCGTAGATTCCGTTTCGTGTTGTGCAAAAGGTCAGCCTTTGCTGTGTAGCATTGGTTATGTGTTGCGCAGCAGTCTCACTACAGAACTTCCCTTTGCGGGTGTGGCGCTGGGAGGGTCGACAGACAGGATTTGGATTTTTCTGGGGAGTTGATACCCTCCTCCCACTTCTCGGTGTGGTCGGGATAGAACAGCAAGGGCGGTGATGGTGTGCGGCGCCTAGGGTACTATCGCAGTCGTGATCGTCGTAGCCGTCGTCGTTGTTGTTGGCATTAATGTCGCGCGCTTCGACAAGCCTGTGTGACCAAGGTGACTCGCATCTTGCGGCGCATGCGGCGCGCTAGTCAACTGTCTGGTCAACTGTCTGGACTTGGTCTCATTGTGGCATGAAGCATGGTGCCGATGTCGCATGTATCAAATGAAATATCCGACTTCCCTCAACGCTCCTATTCCTCGGCTCTAGCGCCATGTGCCGTACTACGCTTTGTTGTTGGCGGGTTGTGTTGACCTGCGCGGCATGTTGGACGCTCTCCTGTTTTCCGACCTCACCGCGAATCGGCCACTCATTCTGATGTACCGGTGGGTGTTTTTTTTTTTTTGGTGGCGTTTCCCGCCGCACGATTGTTTGACGTCCCTTGACCCTCGTCCGTCGAACGGTTTTCGAGTTGCGTTCGTTTAACGTCGCTTGCTCCGATGTCCTGCACCGTTCTTTTTGTCGTGCGTCCTTTGTTCTTCAGGCTCCACTTGGTGGGCTAGGCAAGCTCACGTTCAAGGTGCGAAGCTTTGCCCCTCATAATTGTGTAGATACACGGAGGTTTGCTTGCTTTTTTTCGGCTGTTTTGGGGTCGGGGGTCGGGGGTCAGGGGTTCGGGTGCTCGAATGTTTCCAAACCAAGCCAAACTCAAGGAGTAGGCACAAGCGGTGCGCAAAAGATGAAGCCGCACATACGGCGGCGGTCCTGTGCTAAGGCTTCACGGTACCAAGGGATTTGGCCGACCTTAATACCGACTGTTTAGAGTACGTTGTGGAGCTTGTCACACGATCCCTTAGGCCTTACACAGGGCGATACGTACGCTGCCTAATGAAGAAACCAATACTGTCCCTGTCTTCACAGTGTATGCAGCTAGTCCATTCACCTGCTTCAACCAAGGTTTGGTCGACAGAGGGGTGCCTCTTGTACGGCTTGCGCCCTGCCTGTTGCGCGTGTTCGCGGGCAGCTTTTCTTTTTGTCGTGGATGCGCACTACGCACCCGAAACCGACATGTATAGCATTATTCACCATCCGTCGAATAACGACTGATGTGGCTGTAACGTTGTCCGGGAAGGGCTTCGATCTGCTGCTTCCATACGTTGCAGAGAGTGAGTTCATCACTCTGGTAGGTGACCCCGGATGACCTTCGGGTGGTAAGAACGAAATGCGAGTGGTTGTTGTTGTCGTTGTTGTGTTGACGTTACCTTTCCGGTCTTTGCTTGGTGGCACTGTCAACACCCGCACCTATCCAACTAACGCGGACGCCTCTCGTTGTTGAAGGGGAATGTGGTCGTTCTCTCACCATCCCAGCGCAATCCTGGACGTGCATGCTAGGAGAATTCACAAGAGGTTGGGAGAAGAGGTTGGGACAACAGTAGCAACGAAAGAGAGATCTTAACGCGTGAATGAAAGGCCTTTTCCCGACATTTCCTCCCCTGCCGGAACAGATCCAGCGGGCGGGGCCGGACACGGATCATCTTCCCACGGCCCACACGTGCTTCAACACTCTCATGCTCCCGGAGTATTCGGGAGAGGAAAAGTTGACGAGGCTCCTCAAGCGAGCCGTCACGGAGTGCGAGGGTTTCGGGCTAAGGTAATGCCGATGGGCAACCCATCTTTTGAGGAGGCATTTTTGGGTTCGCACAAGCAGTGTTATTGTCAGACGTGGATGTATTTGGCCTGTAGTATTGCCAAACCTTTGTCGGGCGGGGAGATTTTGAAGTCGAAGGGATATGCCTGCAGTGGGCCGATTTGAAACTATTTTCGGGTGACCCTAAACCCGAAAGTCTGAATAGGGGTCGACCGAGACCCTGAAGACAGTCATGCCGACCGGGACCTTCAAGACGGTCATGTCTATCACCCAACGCGGGGATTGGGACCGAGAATAGCAATGTGCCGGCGCGGACATAGCAAGTGGTGACGAAGATCGTTGCGGTGGCTGCCTTGTGCTGCCGTTGCTAGAAAAAATGTTCCATGACAGCGTAATGGTTTCGGAGAGCGCATGAACGGGTAGAGATCTGTAGCGTAGTCTATCGAAGCGCGGTACAGCTTGGTACTTTTCATGCGTCACGCTCGATAGATGGATTTGCAGAGTACAGCCAGAATACTGACGTTCTTCATCAGACTTTCTGCGTGTGTGTAGTTTTACGTACGTGAAGCCAGTTTTGACAGAAATGCGATGGAGTTCTGGTGCTTCACGCCCGCTCCCAAAACCCGTTCAGCGCGTAGACTACCTGGCACATTTCAAGGCCTCGCGACAATACCTTGTGGGCCGGATACAACAACACGCAACGATCTGGGTGGGCTGTCGGGCGCGAAGTCATTTGTTTTCATGCGCGCTCTCAGCAGAAATTGACGACCGTGCTTACAATAACTCTTATCTCATACTTCTATCTACTCCCTAGCAGTAGGGCTAGCTCCTGAGTGAGATGACTTCAATACCATGCAAAAGCAGTTTGCTATTGGCGCCGTCGATGGACCACGCTTGGAGATTGCTCGTCTGAGCTCAGGTGACGATGAACGGCTCTGGAGAGGCAGGCAGGGACGGGGCAGCGAAACAAGCTGTTTCTGATGTCTTCAGCTTCTCCGTTCAAGGTGCTTGCGTTCCCGTTGGGTTTGAGGTGACGCGCATGATCGAGTGGGTGCGTTACGGGTGCACATTTAGGCATGATGAGTTGCTTCCCCTGGACAACGATGCAGGGTTTCTTTATTCAACGTGCAGTGGACTCAGAGAACAAGGCAGGGCCAGCACAGTGATACTCGAACTACAGTACGCCCCCATTAGGGGGGCTTCGGACAATCGTCTCACGTGATGTTGATGACTGCAACAGGTTTGTCTGGTGTCTCACATTGCTGATGTGTGTGGTTGAGCCCCCACGTGACAAGGAAAATCAAACCGCCGAATCAGAGAAACACGGAAGTTGTAACGCGTGCGAGTGGGTGTCTCGGTGTGAAAGGGTGGAGGATAGCACCGGTTGAGCCCCACCGATCAAATGGCGAAGGAAAAGGTCAAACCAGTGGTCATCCCACGGAGCCGACGAGCACCTGCAGGAGCAGCGGGTGAACGTAAGGTTTCCCACCCAAAAGCTGAACACTGCGCACCTTGAGACGACGTCAATAATGAAGTTTCCACCGTTCGACCGCGAAATCGTCACGTCAACGTCGAAGTAGCTGCTGCTGTGGGGAACCGTCGTCCCGTTCTGCCGGCGGTCACGTCAGGACGCCAGGAAGCGACCACTGTAGAGCAGGCAGCCTGACACTCGTGGCGGGACCCTGGGTGATTGCGCACAAGTGTTTGGCATCATTATGACGGATATAGAAAATGCTCTATTGCAGCAGTCGTCAAATCTGTCTTCCCACGCCGGTATGCGTAGCATAGTCCACAGTAGCTGTCGACGGTAAGCAATCGACTGTGCGGAAGTCCAGTATCCGTCATCAAGGTTCCGCCCCTCTCACTGCAAAGACTTGAGGCATCCCTTCACCTGTGGTGTCATCTCGGGTTAGACTAGACGAGTCTTTCAGTGCATCACTTGCATGCGTAGTTGGCAAGCAACTTACAGATTCTGGATATCTTTTCTGACCAAGACTAGACTACAATGTACAGTAGTCCATGTGCAAGCTACTGTCGACGGTAAGCAATCGACTGGGCGGAAGTCCAGTATCCGTCAAGGTTCCGCCCATCTCACTGCAAAGACTGGAAGCATCCCTTCAACTGTGGTGTCATCTCGGGTTAGACTAGACGAGTCTTTCAGTGCATCACTTGCATGCGTAGTTGGCAAGCAACTTACAGATTCTGGATATCTTTTCTGACCAAGACTAGACTACAATGTACAGTAGTCCATGTGCAAGCTACTGTCGACGGTAAGCAATCGACTGGGCGGAAGTCCAGTATCCGTCAAGGTTCCGCCCATCTCACTGCAAAGACTTGAAGCATCCCTTCAACTGTGGTGTCATCTCGGGTTAGACTAGACGAGTCTTTCAGTGCATCACTTGCATGCGTAGTTGGCAAGCAACTTACAGATTCTGGATATCTTTTCTGACCAAGACTAGACTACAATGTACAGTAGTCCATGTGCAAGCTACTGTCGACGGTAAGCAATCGACTGGGCGGAAGTCCAGTATCCGTCAAGGTTCCGCCCATCTCACTGCAAAGACTTGAAGCATCCCTTCAACTGTGGTGTCATCTCGGGTTAGACTAGACGAGTCTTTCAGTGCATCACTTGCATGCGTAGTTGGCAAACAACTNCGCCGTTTCTCCCCCCCCCCCGCCGCTTCCCCGATTCTCTTTCTCTTCGGGCCCGGGGCGGCCGTACTCTCCGTCTCTGCTTCCTCCGCGCATGTGCGCATGTGCAAGCTACTGTTGTCGACGGTAAGCAATCGACTGGGCGGAAGTCCAGTATCCGTCAAGGTTCCGCCCATCTCACTGCAAAGACTGGAAGCATCCCTTCAACTGTGGTGTCATCTCGGGTTAGACTAGACGAGTCTTTCAGTGCATCACTTGCATGCGTAGTTGGCAAACAACTTACAGATTCTGGATATCTCTTCTGACCAAGACTAGACTACAATGTACAGTAGTCCATGTTGTTGTTGTCGTTGTTGTTGTTGTTGTTGTTGTTGTTTCTCACATTAGCTCTAAAAAAGAAAGATTGGGAGCCCGTGGTCTCAAAACCCGGCATACACGACCCCACGAAGAAACAGAAAAAAATAGGGTACAAAAACCACTCGGAAGAGAAACAAAATGATAGAAAGAAAGACCAGCTACCGCACCAAACGAGAAAGAGCGTCGAGGAGACCGATCAAAATAAAATAAAAGGAGAACGGGGAACGCTTCCCACACCCGCCTACAACGCCGGAGGGTTCCGTGCCGGGTTCCCGCCGACCAGGCATCCCCCGCCCTGCACCACACCCCAGGGGGTGCAGCAAGACGGGGGGCGAAAAACAAACACATATATATTCCCACAAAAAAAAAAAAAAATCGAAGGACAACGTACACCAGTACCAGGTACTACAGCAGTGCAGTATGCACCAGCGCATTAGTGTAGGGTAGGCACCGCACCAAAGAGGCAGCAGAGGTGGCAGGCAGCCAGCAAAGGAAAAAACAAAAATAACAAGGAGCTCGAGGTATCGTCCAAGATCATCGTAGAGAGGGCATGGAGAACAAGAAAGAAAGAAAGAAGAAAAGCACAAAGAGAGGCCGGAGGCAATACTAAGAGCATACAGCTTACGGCAGGGAAAAGGGAACACAGGGTGCGACAACATCATCAGTTGGGTACGTCGTTCGCCGCAAGCGCGGCCTTGGCCGCCCTACTCGCTTCTACAGCAGTGTCCGGTCGCCGTTTCTTCCCCCCCCCCGCCGCTTCCCCGATTCTCTTTCTCTTCGGGCCCGGGGCGGCCGTACTCTCCGTCTCTGCTTCCTCCGCGCATGTGCGCATGTGCAAGCTACTGTTGTCGACGGTAAGCAATCGACTGGGCGGAAGTCCAGTATCCGTCAAGGTTCCGCCCATCTCACTGCAAAGACTTGAAGCATCCCTTCAACTGTGGTGTCATCTCGGGTTAGACTAGACGAGTCTTTCAGTGCATCACTTGCATGCGTAGTTGGCAAACAACTTACAGATTCTGGATATCTCTTCTGACCAAGACTAGACTACAATGTACAGAAGTCCATGTTGTTGTTGTCGTTGTTGTTGTTGTTGTTGTTGTTGTTTCTCACATTAGCTCTAAAAAA